CAGACCATTGATCGTCTACTGCCTCAGGACGAGACTTTCGGGCCCATTGTTAGGAATTTGCAAGCAGATCCTAATTCTGAACCAGGCTATGCCCTGAGTTCAGACCTGCTGTACACTTGCAGCAGAGGTGAGGAGCGCCTGTGTATTCCCCAGGACCAGCGGCTCAGGACACTACTGATGTCAGAGTGTCATGATGCCCGTGGACACTTCGGGTTCCTAAAGTCTTATGCCGCCCTGTTGCAGCGCTTCTTCTGGAAGGAGATGCAGAGTAAGATGCTGCGTTATGTGGACACCTGTGAGCTCTGCCAAAGGAATAAGGTCCAGCGTAGACCTCCTTTGGGACTGCTCAAACCCTTACCCATACCTGATGGCCCTGCTGAATCTGTGTCGATAGACTTCACAGATTTAGGCAAGACCAACCCTCGTGGCATGCGTCAGGTTATCGTCTGCGTGGACAGGTTCTCCAAAGACGTAGAGTTCATCCCCTCGCCAGAGGTAGCTAGGGTACCTGCTGTGAGAGCAGCCTTCTCTGAGAGGTGGGTCACTCACCATGGACCGCCCACTTCTATTGTCAGTGATCGAGACCCCAGATTTTGCAGCGACGAGTTGCAGTCCTCCTGTAAGGACTATCTACACTCACGACTGGACATGACTTCTGGTCATCGTCCTGAAGCCAATGGTTTGGCTGAAGTGATGAACCAAGTCTTATTCCAGTTGCTGTGTCTTGTCATCTCTCCAGATCAACAGGACTAGGATCTTCACTTAGCGAGGGCACAACTCATGTATAACATGTTTGTCCACTCCTCGACAGGGTTCAGTCCCTACCGGTTACACTGGGGACGTGAACCACGACAACCTCTAGATGATATCATCGATAAGGCTAAGTCGGATCTGACACCAGGCACATTAGAGTTCACCAGACGTTATCGTCTAGATGTGGAAAGAGCCCGCGCGAACTTGTTCAAAGCCCAAAAGGCTATGATTGAACAAGCTAATCGCCACAGGCGGCCTTCCCCCATCCGCACTGGTGACCATGTCTGGGTGGCCAGCTCTGAGCTGTCGAGGGAGGAGGATATCTCTCCCAAGCTGTTGCCACGTTACCTGGGTCCATGGCAGGTCCTAGATACAGTAGGCATTGATCCCTTCGGTCCGTCATATGTCATCGACGTCCCACTGCATCTACGTACCTACCCGGTCTTTCATGCATCCAAGCTGCTCCCTTTCACCCCAGCTGATGCATTCCCAGACCGGCCCCCTCAGTTTGGTGCGCCAATCCCTGGTAAGGGATATGACATTGACCGGATTGAGGATGAGTGCGGCACAGGCCCCGATCGACAGTATCTTGTCAAGTTTGCTTTTCAGCCTCCTTCTGAGAGTCAATGGTTCTACAGAAGAGACCTGCTCAAGACAGCAAAGTCCATTGTGTTGCGATATGAAGCGGCTCAGAAGGGCAACCTTCCTCGCCGTTCACCTCGCCTGCATCCCTAGCTCGGAGGTCCTCGCTCCCAGGGAGGGTAAGCCTGCAATGACTTGCTGATTTCGACTGCCGAGATTGACTGCGAGGCTGTACACTAACCGGTAGGGTTAGATTCGCAGTTTTGTTTGGCTGAGGGCTAACCGAGAGACCTGCCTGTAGGGAAATTCGTGAGGGACAGATCTGCAAATCTGGGAAAAATACAGGCCCAGTACTAACCCGAATTCCTACAGCAACCCTAACTACCTATAGCAGGCCCGGGCTACCCCTAGGACAGACAGGCCCTAAGTGGCCTATGCTGCTAGACGGTCCTATAGCCTATAGCCGGGTCTAGTAGCGGCCGAGAGGCCGAAACAACAACGGTACCGGTCGGTCAGTCAGTCCAGTCTAGGTCTAGTAAGTCTATAGATAGGTTAGGCCCATTGGTTCAGGCCTTTTGGTAGTTCATTTCTCGCGAAGCAGGTTGGAGAAGCCAAGCAAGTTGGTGGCGGTGATGGTCTACAGGCGGATCCTGAGACTCACCGTTGACACCAGCCATAGCCGGCCCTCTTTGAGTCTGTCATAGCTGGGGCATCCTCAACGCATCTATCCCTGGGGGTATCTGCGTATGGCCAGGCTGTATCGAGGCTCCACAAGGTGTATTCGTGGGTGGTGGCAGCCATAGCTGCCTGTTCCTTCGTCAGAGTTGTCCATCGGCACTGAAGACTTCATCGTCGGACCTGTTCTTCATCAGGGTGGTTGGCGCTGGCCTCTGGGAGGCCAATCGGATGTGGCTAACTGGGTGTAGGATAGAGAGTGGGGTGTGAGTTCTGAGAGTGGCGAGATACTGGAACAAACTCTGTTACGATAATTGTGTGAGTGGCTCATCATCAGTGTGAATTCCAATTGCGATCTTCGCACGTTCTTTCTTGTGATTGGTTGTTGGGAGTTGTGTCAGAGAGTGAGAAACACTGTGTGTTCTCTCCCCATTTGTGCATGATTGTCTTCCGCTGCTTATTTTCACTTGTGTGCAGTTTGGACTTTGTCTCCTCTCTCCCCTTCTCTTATGCATGTATGGGCATGTGTGAGATTGCCTGTGTGTGAGTGGCCATAAAATTCGTCAGACAACCAAGTTCATAACACAACTACGATCAGCCTAATAATAGACAATGCAACTGTTGACATCAGCGGCAACCCGAAGTACTTGAAGATGTCGCCCATATGCAGACCATCGCCAATACAAGGTAAGTGCCCTCACATCATCATCATCATCATCATCCTTCGCCCTTCCCTGACTTACACCCACACCTGCCCTCTCTTACACCCGAAGACCACCCCTGCGCCTCACTGTAGTCCAAGCCCACCAGCTATGGTGGCTGGGCTATGGCGCTGCCCTCAGCAGCACCCTTCTTCCCTGCACGGCCGCACGTGCTGCACCTCACCTCTCAGCGCCAGCCTGCAGCCGCGAGCCCTTGCTCTAGCAGCACTGCCGCTAGCATGCGAGTGCCTGAATGAGGCTGCCTGGAGTGAGCTCTTTCCTTTATGGAAAGAGCTGGCCTACTCACGCAGCCTGGCTGCACTGGCCTGGGCCCAGAAGCTTCCGGAAGGCCCCAGGAGGCTGCCTGTGTACAGCAGCTACTGGGCTGCTGGGCCTCGTTCGGTTGGGCGCCCAACTGTCTCTGTATGAGGCTGCGAATCACGCCCAGGGCCTGCATTCTTTGGAAAAGCTCGGAGGGCCGTGGAAATGTCTTTGTTGCTCGGCCTGTGTTTCTCTCAACCAACTGGCGCGTCGCAACTGCCTGGACCCCAAATATGAAATTGACAGTCGAGGGCCTCTTGCAAAAAGCCAGGCCCACCTTCACTCAGGGCGGGCACCTCCGCCTTCACTTAGGGCGGGTAATGCTGCATACAGGCCCCATAGGCCTGCCGAGGACCCAGATCCTCGCACTACCCATCCCCACATTAATACTCCCAGCGCACCCGCTGTCCCTACTATCCTACCTCTGTGTGGCCAGCACTCAGGACCATCACCCTACCAGTATTGAGGGCAACTTGGACCAGACAGCAGTGACAAGCACCTGGGCTGACCTCCCAGCCCTAGTGGAAGCGGAAGCGGACGAACCTTGCCGTACGGGAACTTCAGACGCCAGGCTCATGCAATCTTCTACAGGCCCAATTCAGAGAGTCTACACTGCAGGATTCCCTATGCAAGGCAGGCCAGCACCCGAGGACACATCCTACCGTCCTTCCCCTAGCTTACCCAAGGCGAGGCAGAACTCAGACTAGCCGGTGCGACTTATATCCCTACCCTAAGCCATGCGCGAGTAGACCCCGTCATATACCTGATAGCCCCCCCCAGCCGGGTATCGTACTTGTGTGTATGTGTGTGCCCAGAGGCTATGTATGTTTGTATGAGCCCATAGGGCCATGTTTTTTGTGTCTGCCCAAAGGCTATGTGTGCTCTGTGTAACTGTATAGCAAGATGTACGTGCCCAAAGCCCAGATATGTGCAGTACTATGTAGAGGGAATTGTGTTCGTTTGAAGAGATGACAGGCCAGACTCGCACCCGTGATCTATGAGATGTGACCTGAAGACTCTACAACTAGAGCGACAATCGCAAACAACCCCTGTGTGTGATATGCCAGACTGGGGAGATCAACAGAACAACCACGAGCCACAGCCACAAGCAACCCACGCAGTATCAAGGCCCGACATACAACACCATGGGCAACCCTTGGTTGGTGCGCAGGCAGTGTCTGTATAAGCTTACCGTGCGTCAGCCACAGGGGGTGTGTGTCCAGCCGTGCGTCATTCTAAGGCCCTGCCGGTGTCCATGCGCAAGGCTGCAACATACCACAATGCGCATTTCCAACCGGTGCTCTAACCACTGAGCTACATTGTTTTCTGACTGGTCGGCATACTGCTGACCGGTCGGCCCTACTGGTCGGCTGCAATACGGTCGGCGGTTGGCAGGATGCAACCCTGGCTTCGGTTGAAGTGGTGGTTTAAGGAGATCTGTTGGGAACACGCATCCTGTTTGCAACAGCTTAAGGAGATAGATAGCATTCAAGATGAAGTGCCAAAATTGTGTGCTAATTCCTCATCTGCTGAATAATGACGAGTGTGGGTCAGGTGTGGTCATGGGCTGGAAGAATGTTAAGGAAACGAGAAATGCAAGCACAGAAGGATAGAGCATGGGGGGAGAGAGAGAGAGAGAGAGAGAGAGAGAGAGAGAGAGAGAGAGAGAGAGAGAGAGAGAGAGAGAGAGAGAGAGAGAGAGAGAGAG